GTTCAAACTGACCTTGCAGCCTAGTGTTTATCCTACAGTGCCACACCAGGACTCCAAATGAATATTTTGCAGTCATAAAACGGACTGAAGTTTTGATACATGCTACAATATGGATAAGGAGCTCTGGTAGTGTAGTGGTTATGAGTCGGGCTGCTAAACCTAAGAGTCAGCAGTTGGAAACTACCAGCTGTTCCATGGGAGAAATATGAGGCTTTCTGCTCCGGGTAAAGATTTACAGCCTCGGAAACCCTGTACAGAGTCACTATAAGTCGGAACAGGCTCCACGGCACATAACCACCACCACCACCACCACAATATGGATGAATCTTGAAGACATTAAGCTAAGCAAAGTAAGCCAGATACAAAAAGACAAGTAGTAAATGATTCTACTTATATGAGGTTTCATAGAGATAGAAAGTAAACATAGGTTACAAGGGGCTGACCATAAATTGTTTAATGAGTACCGAGTTTGTTTGGGATAAAAAAATAATAATAATCTGGAAATAGGAGTGATGGTTACAAAACACTGTAAATGTACTTTATGCTATTGAATTGTAAACTAAAAAACGGTTAAAATGGTGAGTTCTATGTTATATATTTTTACCACAATAAAAAATATAAAGGCCCATTTCTTTTACTTAAAAAAGAGTCTAATTAAAAGGAAAGCAGATAAACTCAACTTCATAAAAACTAAAAAAATTTGTGTTATAAAGAGCTTTATCAAGAAAATAAGGCAACCCACAGAATGGGAGAATTATTTGCAAACTGCATTATCAGATAAGGAACTGGAACCTAAAATATATTTAAAACATCTTACAAATAAAACAATAAAAAAACACAATTCAAATAAAAAATTGAAAAAAGACTTGAATATCTATTTCTGCAAAGATACACAAATGGCAAATAAGTACTTGAAAAATGTTCAATATCGCTGGTTATTGTTGTTAAGTACCATCTAGTCTGTTCTGAATCATAGCAACCCTGTATAGGGTTTCCGAGGAGTGGCTGGTGGGTTTGAACCACTGACCTTGTACTTAGCTGTCAAAAGCTTACTGTAAAGTGCCACACTAGTATACCTGAAAAAGTTTAGCAGTTCCTCATAAAGTTAAACAGCAATTTCACTCAAGAGAACCAGGGAAAAACTGTCCATGCAAAAGGCTTGGACTTATGTTTATAGTAGCATTGCTTAAAATTGCACTAAAGTGGAAACAACCTAAATACCTATCAACCAATGAACTAATGAACAATGGATGTTGGCACACTGGCTAAAACATTCAGTTGAGAAATGGCTGGCAGGTTGAACTCACTATTCTCTGCACAGGTAACAGGTGTGGCAAGATACGTTCTGCAAAGATTTAAAGCCTTGAGAACCCTATGGGGCAATTCTACTCTGTCCTCCAAAGTCGTTAAGAGTGACAAACACCTCTACAGAAGTAGGTTTAATTTGGTATATCCAAAAAATAGAATATTTTTGAAAATACAAATGAAGCAATAACACAAGTTGCAACCTGGATTAACCTTGAAAACATTATGCTAAATGGAAAAATCTAGTAACCAAAATCCATATTTAATAGGCCTACATTTACAAGGATGTACAAAATACGCAAATCCTATTAGTGGTTGTCAGGCACTGGTGGAAGAGGTGAATGGGGAATGATTATGAATAGGCATAGGATTTGGGGGATGATTAAAATGTTCGGAAATTAAATGGTGATGATGGTTGTATAGCATAGCAAATTACACTAAAAAAAATCACTGAATTGTATACTTTAAAAGGGTTTATTTTATGCTATGTGAATTCCGGGGCTTATGACACCTAAAAGCCAAACTGTTTGATAAAAACAGCACAAAGAACGAGGGGACATTAAACAAAATTGACTGCATGATGAGGCTATTAGGGACAAAGAGGAACTTTCGATACATATAAAAGGTAAATACATCCATTAAGAAAAATATAATAAAACCCTGAATATTTAGAAATTAACTCCCCAAATCTTTAGAAATTATTTATTTCTTTTAATTTATTAAAAAAAATTTTGTTACCATTGATATACAGCAAATTATATACCAATTAAATTGTCTCTACATGTACAATTCAGTGACAATGATCATAATCTTCATTTGTTCAACCTTTCTCACCCTCCATTTCTGAGTTGTAGATAACGTATGTCACCACTCATCTGTCACTGTGGTGGCTTGTGAGTTGCTGTGACTCTGAAAGCTATGTCCCTGGTATTTTAAATACCAGCAGGGTCACCCATGGTGGATAAGATTCAGATGAACTTCCAAACAAAGACAAACGAGGAAGAAGGGAAGGAGTGAATAACTACTTCCGAATAGTTAGTCCCTGAAAACCTTATGAATAGCAGGAAAAAATATTGTCAGATATAGTGCCAGAAAATGAGCCCCTCAAGTTGGATGGCAATCAAAATGTAACTGGGAAGACCTGCGTCCTCAAAGTAGAGTTGACCGTGATGACACAAATGATGTAAAGCCCATGGGAGAAAAGCCCGCGGGACCTTCATTTGCTGAAGGGACACAACTCAAAATGAAGAGAAACAGCTATAAACATCCACTGAAAATCAGAACATGGAACGTACGAAGTATGAATCTAGGAAAAACGGAAGTTGTAAAAAATGAAATGTAACACATAAACATCACTATTTTAGGCATTAGTGAGCTGAAATGGACTGGTATTAGCCATTTTGAATCTGATGACCACATGGTTTACTATGCCAGAAATGACAAACTGAAGAGGAATGGCGTTGCATTCATCGTCAAAAAGAACATATCCAGATTAGTCACAAGGTACACTGCTGTCTGTGATAGTATAATATCCATGTGCCTACAGGGAAGACCAGTTAATACCACTATTATTCAAATTTATGCATCAACCACTAAAGCCAGTAAGAATAAAATAGAAGAATTCTACCAACTTCTTCAATCTGAAATTAATCAAACATGCAATCAAAATGTATTGCTCATTACTGGTGATTGGAATTCAAAGGTTGGGAGCAAAGAGGAAGGATCAGTAGTTGGAAAATATGGCCTTGGTGATAGAAATGCTGCTGGAGATCTCATGATAGAATTCTGCAAAATCAATGATTTGTTCATTTCAAATACCTTCTTTAGACAGCAAAAGAGATGACTATACACATGGACCTCACCAGATGGAATACACAGAAATCAAATTGACACATCTGTGGAAAGAGACAATGGGAACGCTCTATATCATCAGTCAAAACAAGGCAAGGGGCAGACTGTGGAACAGACCATCAATTACTCAAATGCAAATTCAAACTGAAGCTGAAGAAAATGAAAACAAGTCCACAAGAGCCAAAATATGATCTTGAATATATCCCACTTGAATTTAGAGATGATCTGAAGAACAGCTTTCATACATTAAACACTACAGAACAAAAACCAGAAGAGTTGTGGGATGACATCAAGATCATCATGTAAGAAGAAAACAAAAAGTCATTGAGAAGACAAGAAAGAAGGAAAAGGTCAAAATGGAAGTCAGAAGAGACACTGAAACTTGCTCTCCAGCGTAGAGATGCTAAAGCAAATGGAAGAAATGAGGAGGTCCAAGAAATGAACAGAAAATTTCAAAGATCAGCTCGAGAAGATAAAGCCAAATATTACAACAAAATGTGCAAATTTCTGGAGTCAGAAAACCAAAAAGGACGAACACACGGAGCATTTCTCAAGCTGGAGGAACTGAAGAAAAATTTCAAGCCTCGACTTTCATTACTGAAAGATTCTCTGGGCAAATGATTGGCTGATGCAAAAAGCATCAAAGAAGATGTTAGGAATACACAGAGTTATTGTACCAAAGGGAAATGGTTAATGTTCAACCGTTTCAAGAGGTAGCATATGATCAAGAGCCAATGATAATGAAGGAGGAAGTCCAAGGTACACTGAAGGAACTGGTACAGAACAAGGCGCCAGGAATTAATGGAATAAAAATTGAAATCTTTCAAGAAAGTGAGGCCGCACTGAAGGCACTCACTCATCTCTGTCAAAATGATTAGAAGAGATCCGTATCTGTGCCTATTCCAAAGAAAGGTGACCCAAAGGAATGCGGAAATTATTGGACAATCTCTTTGATATCCCATGAGAGTAAAGTTTTACTAAAGGTAATACAGAATACACATACTTACCAACAAAGAAATGTTAATTTGTTTTATGTTGACAGCAATATTAATACATTCACATTTTCAAAATTTCTGACGCCTTTCAGAAATTTTTAATTCCTTCCAAGGTAAATGGTCAGTCTCACTTTAAAAGGATTGAATAAAATGCTGAATTGCTGACTCATGCTGCTAATGAACATTCCATTAAGATTATCTTACACAAAAAGAATGAGAATGTCCACACAGTATACAGATGTAACTAATGTCACTAAATAAATGTTGCAGAAGCTGTTAAAATAGGAACTTAAACTGCTGTTTAAATCTTCACTTCAAGTACAATATTATTTAAAATAATAATAAAATATTCCCTTACAACCCAAGACCAGAGCTATACAAACCTGAAATGAGCAGTGAGCTCCATGTGAGAATATAGTGTCTGGTGGCAAGCCACACACTTGACTTGAAATGGAACATCTTTGCAGAGGCTGATCAAAAGTTTCTTTGCAAAAGATGGAAATGATATTGGATGTGCTAATCTTTTGTTATCTGTAAAACAAAATAAACTAACTTAAAATGTTCTTGGCATATAGGGTAACCCAACCTTCCTCCCCACTGCCTTTTTCAACTTCAGTTGGAGTAAGTAAAACAGCTATTTATATGATAAAAATCTATGGGAAACTATTTTCTAGCCTAATTGCCATTGTTGTTAAGTGCCATCATGTCAGTTTTGAAGCATAGTGATCCTGGTACAGCGTTTCTGAGGAACGACTGGTGGGTTTGAATCTAATTGCTAATGATGATGAATTCATCCCTGAATTAAAACTGGAGGCATAAGGGTAGAGAAACAACAGCTATCCAGATATCATGGCTATATGAACATTTTCCTGAATAAATGTTTTCTTCCCAAAGTAAATAAATCTTATTCTTAGGTACAGAAAAATGTTGAGAATCTTAAAAAATTAAGAATTGTTTATATATGTTTCAATGTTATGGTTTCCAAAATAACATAGGATAATTAATCTCAAAAATTAACTAAGATTGATAAATCAGCAAAGCTTAGTCTAATATTTTTTAACATACCACTCAGTTTAAAACTCTGAAGGAAATGATTCTTTCCAGACATATGCTTGAAACACTCATCCTTGCTGTTAAAAAGAAGGAAACAATTTGGACATGCAAAACACTGGATAATCTGAGGAAGAAGGTTGTTTTTATGTCCATCATCTGCAGCTTCCTAAAATATAATGCAAAGTTGTATTATAGACAACTGAAATCAATATTCAATGCTTAAAATTAGCTTTCAGTAACTCCTATTTATCTTTGAAATATTTTATATCAATTTTTTATTTTGTTGTGGAAACTACACATAGCAAAACATATTACACGAATTCAGCAATTTGTACACTAACAATTCAGTGACAAGTTATGCAGCCATTCTTATCCTCTTCTGTTCTGCGTTGTTTCTCACCCACTAACAAACTCACTGTCCTCTAAATCCTTATCAATTTCTAACATAAAAGCTGTTTTCCTGAATGTGAATGGTCAGGTTTTTTTGTTTTGTTTTTGGTAACTGAGGTAATATAATGAAATTTTGTTATTTTATTCCCTTAAAAACAAATTAGAGGTGTCTGCCCGTTGTCTACTGTTGGGAGTTGGGCGCCAAATTTTGCAAAATCTTATAAAGAAAACCTCACTCTCACTAAAAGAAAATAACAAAAAACAACAAATTAGAAGCATGTTTCTGTGACAATAAACATAGATGCATATTTGCTTTCTATGTATTTTTCATACACACCCGTATGCATTACATAAATATATAAATGTGTTCATATCACGTAAACTTTCTCTAATGTTTTGTTTTGTTCCCTACTGGTGTAGCACTGTCAGATTAGCACTGGATTGTAAACTACAAGTTCAGCAGTTCACACCCACAAGCTTCTACGTGGAAACCCTATACAGGGTTGCTATGAGTTGCAACCGACTCCACAGCACTTAACATGTTGTCCCCAAAACCTATGTTTACAAATATATGCATTCTTCCATGTAAACTTCTCCAGGGCTATCAGTTACAAAAATATGTATATATAACATATAAAATGCAATGTCCATGCTTTATCAAACATTGCTCCATTTTACAGACCCTCTGCTTTAGACTTCTTATTTCACAAAACCTAATGGCAATCCCTAAAAATCAACTGGAATTCAATCTTTATGATTGTGGGTCTACTGTGATTTAATCAAACATTCATTTCTAGTTTTTATTGTCAATATAAACAGTGATCTAAACCTCCTTGAACATATGTTCTTTACTACTTTTCTTTATCAGCAATAGCCTTGTTGGACTGAAGGGTACACATATTTAAATGTTTAAAGAACCTGGTAGCAATATATGAGTTTTTAAAATTCTTGCCAATGAGTTGATACTCATTGTCGCTTTAAGCTGCATTTCCCTGTCTACTCGAGAATGTGAACATTTCTTCATATATTAGTCAACTATCTGGATGCATGCCTCTGTGCACTGTTTATTTTATGTTCTTTGCATCATTTCTCAATTGGTTTGGTTTTCTCCCCTCCTGTTCAATTTATATCATTTGTTGTATCCCAAACTGACCTGCCTCATTCTCTGTTGTAAATATTTTTCCAAATACCTTTTTTAAGTTTAAAATATTTTATTTAGTAAAACAGGCATGTCATTTTTTGAATTTCTACGTTTTCACTTAGTTAAGAACTTCCTTTACCTTCAAATTAGGGGAAAATAGTACATAATCATGCATATTGTTGTTGTTGATAAGTGCCGTCGAGTTGATTCCTACTCACAGTGAACTGTGTATAGGGTATCTGAAGAGTAGTTGATGAGTTTGAACCACTAACCTCATGGTAAGCAGTCAAGTGCTGATCCTGCAGCACCAAGCCAGTACCCATTTACATAGATAAGTGCGTGTATATAAAGATAATGTAACTCCGTTAATGGATTACAGATCCTCAGAGTAATTGTCTTAAAACTTACGTTGTGCCTTCTGAGATTTAAAATCATGAACACAAAGAATATCAAAATAGTTGTGCTGTGCTTACCTGAAGCAACAGGAGGAGGAACAGAAAAATTGTATTTATATTAAATATATCTACCACATGCCAAGCATCTCATTAGGGTTTCTAAACATATTTTTCCATTCATCTACATAACAACCTCATGAAGTACTATTTTCATTATCAACAAGAGAGAAAACTGAAATTCAGATGAAATTAACCAACTTAACCTTAACCCTCCCTCCCACTATATCTCTCGAAGATATATAGCTACCATTCAAATCCAGCTTTATGTCTTTGATGATAAATTCTATACACTTTGCACTATTACCCTTCATTTTAATTTGTTAAGTACCACAACAGAAAAAACACCCAGGAGGAAATTTTGCATTTCAATAAGAAAATTCTAAATTATAAGGCATTTACTACTTGAAAAACGCAAAAGATAAAATTTAAATCTTTAGTTCAACTGTCAGTTCAATACAGAACTTATTAAAATTGTTTATTCAACAGAAGGAAAATGTGCAATTAGTATATACAAAGCATAATAAAATGTACATATAAAAAGTATATAGTCACCCTTTAGTATTCACAGGGGATTAGTTTCAGGGTCCCCCGACAATACCAAAATCTGAAGATGCTCATGTCTCTTACACAATTGCTGTTGTTGTTGTTAAGTGCCATGGAATCAGTTCCAACTCAGAGTGACCCTGTACAGGGTTTCCAAGTTTCTGGTAAGCTTGAACCATTGACCTTGCAGTCCAATGCATTAACTGACAGAGCCACAAAAGGACTTCCTCTTACATACATACTATGATGTAGTACTTGTATATAAGCAATCCACATCCTCCTGTATGCTTTGAATCATCCTTAAATTACTTATAATACAATGTACATGCTATGTAAATAGCACATTTAAACTTCCTTCTAGCCTTTGAGGGATTACTTTGACCACTTTATTAGTCTTCCTTCCCTTTATTTTCAATTGGCAGGATGAAGAAGGGCCAATTATATAGCACTGTTGACCATATGGCTAGTATACTCCAGGGCTTAATCTACAATTCTAGACTAAAATGTCTTCCAACTCTAAATGTCTAAAGCATTATATGATTTATCATGTTACCATCTTGTAAGAGTCCCCCTATTTGCCAATATCAAATTTAAAATCCTGTGCTTTTACAATCAGGTTGCTACCTGTGTCTGGAGTGCACAAAACCATGCTAAGGTTCAATGGTTCACTGTTGTTGTTGTTAAGTGTTGTCTAGTCGATTCTGACCCATAGTGTCCCTGTATAGGGTTTCCAGGAGCAGCTGGTGAGCTTGAAGCTCCGACCTTGAAGTTCAAGCGACTTTGCAGTCTGATGCATTAGCCCACAGCGCCACATCAGGACTCTTCAATGGTTTGCTAGGGAGGACTTAAGTATTCAGCATACACTGAGTGTTTACTACAGTGAAAGGATACAAAACAAAATCAGCAAAACCAGTTTATGTCCAGTCACTTCCAACTCATGAAAACTTCATGTAGGCTGGAGTGTAACTATGTTCCACGTGGCTTTCATTGGTTAATTTTTTGACCAGGATATTGCCAGAGCTTTCTTCTGAAGCACCTCTTAAATGGTGTCTTTTAGCTATCAGCTGCCAACAAAATTTAATGCTTCAAATCATTTTACTTACAGCAGAAAACCATAATTTTGATAGTTGTTTGCATCACTGGTGACTGCAATCTTGACAGCACCAAGAAATCTACATCCTACACCATGATTCTCTAGAAAGACACCTAGTTTTAACTTAGGATGTGGTTCTTACCTTAGCTAAAAGGTGATCCCGATACTGTTGTTGAGTGACAAAATTTTTGTAACATATTACACAAGCAAAGGAATTGACAGAAGGTCCATGTAGTGTAATTGTTGGATCACATGGAGAGTGATCAAACCTAGTTAGCAAAAGAGAGATGACATTAGAAAAGGGACTGAACTATTGCTCCATTTTAGGTTAAACACACATACACACACACAACTTCACATTTCTTTACTGAAATAAAGTTCTTTATATTCAAGAAAAATTAAGTGGCTCCCAAATGCCAGGCAACCATTTAAATAATAATCTCATGTTAAGATTTCAGGGACATCTTTATATCTATAAATAGTTTTTGGTCCTTTATTTAATGTTTATTTTAATCCTTTAACGAATATCTGCCGTTTTAAACAGCCTCAAAAACTTTAAGTAATTAAGATATGCTGTTGTTGTTGTATGCTGTCGAGTCGGTTCTGACCCATAGCGACCCTGTATAGGGTTTCCAAGGAGCAGCTGGTGAGCTTGAACCACCGACCTTGCAGTTTAAACGGCTCTGCAGTCTGGCACATTAACCCACAGCACCACACCAGGATCCAATTAAGGTATAGTAATACCCAATTATTTATACAATGCTCTAGCTCCCTCTAGGGGTCTCTCAATATAAGGCAAGGCATGTGAAATTAATACTGTTACATGCAGTCAAGTGATTATGACTTATGGTAACCCCATGTGTGTGAAGGTAGAAATGAGCTCAATATGATTTCCAATGGCTGTTTGGTTTTTTTTTTTAGTTCAACAGGCCTTTCTCTGAGATGCCTCTGGGTGGACTCAAATCTCCAACTTTTCAATTAGCAGCTGAGCAATCAAGTAGAGTGAGAAATTAGAAAACAGTCTTGAACTTCTCAATTTCTTATCTTTGAACTATAAGAATCAAACCAGAGATGACTGTGACGATCAAAATATTGAATGCCTCTTTATCTGAGTCTTGGTGTGGTAGGACTGGACTCAAGGTTTGTGTGAACTGCATGGTCAATAGTTCAAACACATCAGCTGCTCCCTGGAATCCCTATAAAGGATTCACTGATTCAGAAATGACATGACAGCACTTAACACAACAGCAACAACTATTAAACAATACAGTAAATGATAAACTGGATTTGATAAAAGAATACTTCCTTCTTGTTAATTTTACTTCATTTGTCCTGTTTTTATCATTTATTTCCTAATACCATATTACTTTTTTGGGGCTGACCAAGTATCTTTGTTCTGTTTCTTGAAACTGGCATTTATGAGCTAGATTTCTCTAAAATTCATACAACTACATATCAGTGTAAGAAGCCTGTTTAAAAATTTATGAAGATATATCATGAAAAAACGCATTTAATGATTGCATCTATAAAGACAGAATATCGCTAGAAAATCTGGCTTCTATCGAGCCTTTCTGGAACCATAACAAATATAAACTGAAAATAATTATAATATTGTTATTAAGTACCATAAAGTTAGTTCTGACCCTGTATAGGGTTTTCAAAGAGTAGCTGGTGGGTTTTAATTCCAACCATGCAGTTAAACAGTTCAGTGTTTACCTTACAGCACACACACTAGGACTCCAATTATATCACTACGTTAAGTGCTGTCGAGTTAATTTCAACTGATAGCAACCTTGTGTGGAGTTTACAAGGAGCAGCTGCGAGTCTGAATTGCCAGCTTGTGGTTCAAATTGACCTTGAAGTCTACCACATTACCTATATTGAGTATAATGTTATAATCATAATCTTGCTTTCATGTTACAAAATCACTTAGTAACTGATTTGATCTTCATCATCTAGTCTGAATATCATACTTATCATACTTACCTTTTCAAGTGTCCTAAGAGAAGGTGTCCATTGTCAAACTGCTTGTTACAGTGCATTATGGGACATGCAATTGGTTTCCCAGACACCCGCATTTGTCCTCCTCTTCGAAATGAACTTTTTGTGCCAGAATGAATTATGCCTGTTTTGAGTCCTGCATCAGAATATGAATTCTTAAGCTTCTAGTTGTAATCAAAATAATGAGATTATGAAACAGCATCAACTAAGTAGTCCTAATTGTAATTGTCTATAATCGCATTAAATAATTACATAACCCAAAAGTAAATCAAGTTATTTGATACATGAAAAGCAGTCAACATTTCCAAGTAGCATTATCTAGGAGAAGAGAGAAAAGAAAACTGTTTTATTAAGCTCAGCAATCAGAAAATATTAAAGATCAAAAAAATATTTTGTAGATCAGTTTGTTCTACAAAAGTTCCCATCCTCCCTTGCTATTGTTTATTTAAGTCAGCAATAATAATTTCTTCTCTTATTTTCTCTTTTAACTATTGTAACCACATTCAAAGATTTAGTTATATTATGTTGTTGTTGTTAAATGTCATCAAGTCGGTTCTGACTCACAGTGACCCTGTATAGGATTTCTGAGGAGCAGTTGGTGGGTGTGAACAGCTGACCGTTTGGTTCGCAGTCCAGTATTGATCCTACTGAGCATATGAATTCTATGAAAATTCTGTTAAACCATCTAACTGGGGCTGGGATTGAGAGGAGAGGAGAGGGCAGGGAGAGTACATAATTACATCAAAACTAATCCTAAATTTGAGATCTGTTTATTAAGGGTGTTGTTGTTGTTGTTATGTGCCGTGGAATCGGTTCCAACTCACAGTGACCCTGTATAGGGTTTCCAAGGCAGTAAATCTTTACGGGAGCAGAAACCCTCATCTTTTTCCCGTGGAACAGCTGGTAGTTTCGAGCTGCTGACCTTGCGGTTCACAGCCCAATTCGTAACCACTACACTACCAGAGCTCCTTTGGACACATGCACTTTACTTTCCCTGTTAAAAATAACCTGAGAACACATTTTCAATTCTTGTCTCTGCAGTTGGAAAGTTGAGATCGAGCTTCAGTAATAGCCAGAAGGGTGGACAGTGAGCCCCATAGTCAAATTGAGAGAGACAGGATGGCATTTCCTCATGAAATTTTAGTAAAAACAATGACTATGTCTGATTGAATTCTGTCAATTCAATTCATAGAACAATATGGTGCTACTACTGGCAGAGATGAAGAGCAGAGATGTCAGCTTGAGGACTAGGGTGCGCCTGACCCAGGCCATTGTGTTTTCAATAGCCTCATATGGATGCGAAAGCTGGACAGTGAATAAAGAGGATCGTAGAAGAATTGATGCCTTTGAGTTGTGGTGTTGGAGGAGAATACTGAGGGTGCCATGGACTGCCAAAAGAACCAATAGATCTGTTTTGGAAGAAGTGCAGCCAGAGTGCTCCTTGGAGGCCAGGATGGCTAAGCTTCGTCTCTCCTACTTTGGACATGTAGTCCGGAGGAAACAATCGTTGGAGAAGGATGTCATGCTGGGTAGGGTAGAGGGTCAGAGAAAAAGAGGAAGACCTCCAACGAGATGGATCGGCCAGGTGGCATCATTGATGGACTCGGGGGTGGCAGCGGTGGTGAGGTTGGCCCAGGATCGAGCATTGTTTCGTTCTGCTGTGCATGGGGTCGCTATGAGTCGGTTCCGACTCGATGGCACCTGACAACAACAACAACAACACTGGCAGAGAGTTTTTGTCATCGCTGTGAACAGTTTTTTTTTTTTTTAATGCTTTATTGTGAAATATGTGATAGTTTACATGGGAGGACATAAGCTTCGCATTGATCCTGTTGTATATCATTTCCTTGCCATAGTTACAATCTCTTCCATGCATCATCGATCAACCAAAGGGTATACCCGGGTAAGCCTGTCCCCCTGTCATCCACACACCATCCCCCCTCTCTCTCCAGGTCCGAAGTTTCCAGCTGCTCCATCTCTCCACGTCATCATCTCTGCCTGCATCCCTGGCATCACTGCTTCTCTGGATAGGGTTCCATTCTCTGCTTTTCTCCTTTGATGGTCCCAGGGACCTCTGCTCCTAGACTGCAAGGTTAATCACTCCCCTCCCTTTGCCCCAAAACATCCACCTTTATTTACATTTCCAGCCCTTACAATCTCAGTCCTGATAACAATTATTTGCTATTGTATCGCAAGAGACCTATCCGCATCCGCTTTCATCAGCCCTGACTAGGCAGAATGGATACTACTCAGTGGAGATTCTACCTTGCTCTACGCCCTCTGGATCTAGGTTCCCTCTTGAAAGCTTGTAAGCCAGTCACTTCTTGCCTCTGTAGCCTCCCCCATTCTGGGTAGCCAATGTCCAAGTTACCCAAGCCTGTCCTCTCCTTGTGCGGAGGAGGTGGGAATAATCCTCTCTGTGAAGATTTGAACCATTGCTTTTGCTGGTCAGTCATGCACTTTATCATCTGGAATGTCTTCACTCAAGTACTCAGGACAACTTCCTTCCAAGACCTCAGCGATGCATTTGATTGACTTGAGTTTGTGAACATCTTCAACAGTAGACCTAACTTTCTCACCAGGGCCATCAATCTTGACCGATGCTCCTGGCTGAGCAAAACAGGTGATTTTGTAGGTGTAGATGGTGTGTAGGGTTTTCCAACATTTCAATAACTGTGGTGCATTCAATTCCAACATCACCTAGTACTACAATGTTAAGACAGTAAGAGCATATGCTTACTGCTATGAAATGGTGAATACGGTTGGTGCCAGAAGGATTTTGATAGATAATTGTTGTTGCTAAGTGCTGTAAAGTCAGTTGTGACTCATAGCGATCCTATATAGGGTTAGAGAGGAGCAGCTGTTGAGTTTGACCTTGAGGTTGACTGTTTACCCTATGGCACCACACTAGGACTCTGTGGACCTTCTCTTAATACTACCTCTTGTGGACTGTTTCACTCAAATGCCCTGAATACTTCATAGAACAGAAAACTCTATAAAGCCCCTAACCATTTAACTAAAACAGATTATTACAAGGAGGCTTCAAAAAGTTCATGGAAAAAAATCCTTTAACTTTTAATTCTCCTTTTCCATGAACTTGTTGAAGCCCCTCATATTTCCTTAACGTAATCTAGTTTTAAAATTCAAAAATGGTTATATATGCTTCAAGTTTCATTTGCTTTTTTGTTGTTTTAGTTCTTACTGGCAGAAGGAACAAGGATGCCTCAATGAAAATACCAAACTACTTTAAAATATGCTCTAATAACAAAGAATGAACAGTATAGCTTTAAGCATACTTAAGTTTCAACAAGGCATCGAATAACAATATGCCTTCCTTTCTTTCTTTAAAATATAACCAGAATTATGGCTGTTCTATTTATTGTCCAATCATATTCCAGATGTCTGCTGGGATTTGTGTTTTGCCAATATAGAGCCTCTGGATTAAAAAGAAAGTTGAAGAAAATAATCAACTGAAAGAGAGAGTCTTTTTTATGAGAAGGGGGGGAAAATTTAACAGTATATAGAACATTATTTTTATTACAAATTATTCCATTTCATACAAACTGGATCAGTTATACAGCTCTATAAAGAGAAGTCTAAAATATGAAGAACTATACACAGTCTCTCTGCTATTCATAAGGTTTTCAGTGACTAAGTATTTGGGAGTAATTCGTCACTCCTTCTTCCTAGTGTCTTTGTTTGGAAGCTCACCATGGGTGATCCTGCTGGTATTTAAAATCACCTTATAAATAGCAGAGAAACACTGGCAGATATAGTGCCGGAAAATGAGCCCGTCACGTTGGAAGGCACTCAACATGTGACTGGGGAAGAGCTGCCTCCTCAAAGTAGAGTAGACTATAATGATGCAAATGTAGTAAAGACCATGAGAGTAAAACATGCAGAACCTTCATTTGCTGATGGGACACAACTCAAAATGAAGAGAAACAGCTTTCAAAATCCATTAATAATCGGAACATGGAATGTACTAAGTATGAATCTAGGAAAATTGGAAATTATAAAAAATGAAATGCAGCACATAAACATCAACATCTTAGGCATTAGTGAGCTGAGATGAACTGGTATTGGCCATTTTGAATCTGACAGCCACGTGGTTTTTTATGCTGGGAATGACAAACTGAAGAGGAACGGTGTTGCATTCATTGTCACAAAGAACACATCCAGACCAGTCGTGAGGTACAACACTGTCTGTGATAGGATAATATCCATGCACCTACAGGGAAGCCCAGTTAATACCACTATTATTCAAATTTAGACACCAACCACTAAAGCCAGTGAGGATGAAATAGAAGAATTCTACCAACTTCTTCAATTTGAAATTGATCAAACATGCAATTAAGATGTATTGATCATTACTGGTAATTGGAATTCAAAGGTTGGGAGCAAAGAGGAAGGATCAGTAGTTGGAAAATATGACCTTGGTGATAGAAATGATGCTGGAGATTGCAAGACAGAATTCTGCAAAATCAATGATTTGTTCATTTCAAATGCCTTCTTTAGACAGCATAACAGACGATTATACACGCGGACCTCATCAGATGGAATACACAGAAATCAAATTTACTACATATGTGGGAAGAGACAATGGAAAAACTCTATATCATCAGTCAAAACAAGGCCAGGGGCAGACTGTAGAAAAGTTTATCAACTGCTCATATGCAAATTCACACTGAAGATGAAAAAAATGAAAACAAATCCATGAGGGACAAAATATGACCTTGAATATATCCCACCTGAATTCAGAGATCACCTAAAGAACAGATTTGATACAACAGTAAAGACTGAAGGCCAGAAGAGTTGTGGATGACATCAAGAACATCATACAAGAAAGCAGAAAGTCATTAAAAAGACAAGAAAGAACGAAAAGGTCAAAAGGATGTCAGAAGAGACACTGAAACTTGCTTTCCAGCATAAAGATGTTAAAGGAAATGGAAGAAATAAGGAGGTATAAGAGCTGAATAGAAAATTTCAAGGTTCGCTCGAGAAGACAAAGTCAAATATTACAACAAAATGTGCAAAGAACTGGAGTCAGAAAACCAAAAAGGAATAATACACTCAGCATTTCTCAAGCTGGAGGAACTGAAGAAAAAATTCAAGCCTCAACTTTCGTTACTGAAGGATTCTCTGGGCAAATTATGGAATGATGCAGAAAGCATCAAAAGAATATGGAAGGAATACACAGTCACTGTACCAAAAGGAACTGGTTAATGTTCAACCATTTCAAGAAGTAGCATATGATCCAGAGCCAATGATACTGAAGGAAGAAGTCCAGGGTACATTAAAGGAACTGGCAAAGAATGAGCCTCCGGGAACTGATGGAATAAAAATTGAAATCTTTCAAGAAAGTGAGGCGGCACTGGAAGCACTCACTCATCTCTGCCAAGAAATCTGGAAGATATCTGGCCAACTGATTGGGACAGATCCGTATTTGTGCCCATTCCAAAGAGAGGTGACCCAACAGAATGCGGACATCATCAGGCAATATCTTTAATATCCCATTTGAGTAGTTTTATTAAGGTAACACAGAAACAACTGCAAGCATACACTGACAGAAAACTTCTAGGGGTTCAAGCCGGATCCAGAAAAGGCCGTGGACTGAGGGATATCATTGCTGATGTCTGATGGGTCTTGACTGAAAGCAGAGAATACCAGAAAGATGTTTACCTGTGCTTTATTGACTACGCAAAGGCTTTCGATTGTGTGGATCATGACAAGCTATGGACAAGTTTGAGAAGTATGAGTATTCCTGAACACTTAATTGTGCTCATGAGGAATCTGTACATGGACCAAGAGGCAGTTGTTCAAACAGAACATGGGAACATTGAATGGTTTAAAATTAAGTAAGAAAGGTGTGTGACAGGGTTGTATTCTTTCTACATACTTATTCAACCTGTATGCTGAGCAAATATTCCAAGATGCTGGGTTCTATGAAGAAAGACGTGGTATCAGGATTGGAGGAAGACTCATTAACAACCTGTGATATGCAGATGATACAACCTTGCTTGCTGAAAGTTACCTGTACTTAAAAGTATTTACTGATGAAGATCAAAGACCACAGCCTTCGGTATAGATTGTGTCTCAATGTGAAGCAAACAAAACTCCTCACCACTGGACCAATAAACAACATTCTTATCAATGGAGAAAAGATTGAAGTTGTCAAGGACTTCATTCTTCTTAGATCAACTATCAACACACATGGAAGCAACAGTCAAGAAATCAGAGGACGTATTGCATTAGGCAAATGAGCTGCACAAGACCTTTTTCCAGTGTTGAAGAGCAAAGATGTCAGTCAGCTTGAGGACTAAGGTACGCCTGACCCAAGACATGGTATTTTCAATAACCTCATATGCATGCAAAAGCTGGACAGTGAATAAGGAAGACCGTAAAAGAATTGATGATTTTGAGTTACGATGTTGGAGGAGAATACTGAAAGTGCCATGGGCTGCCAAACGAACCAACAGATCTGTGTTGGAAGAAGTGCAGCCCTAGTGCTCCTAGGAGGCTATGATGGCCAAATTTAATCTCTTACATTTTGGACATGTTTTCAGGAAGGACCAGGATATCATGTTTGGTAAGGTAGAGGGTAGAGAAAAAGAGGAAGACCCCCAGTGAGATGGATTGGCAAAGTGATAGCATCAATGCACTCAAGTGACGTAAAAATTGTGAGGTTGTCCCAGGACCACTATTTTGTTCTGTTGTACATAGGGTTGCTATGAGTCAGTACCGACTTGACGGCACCTAACAACAAGAAAAACATAAAGTACTTTTAATCAAATAACCAAGCCATAATAGATGAGTACTTGGGAATCTATTGAATGAATCCTTTAAAAAGCTACTTAAGAAGCAAAATTTCATTTTATAATTAAAAAAAAACCCCAACATTAATCTCTATTTTTTTCCAGGTATGTCCTCTTCAAAGACCTCAGCACTCTTCTAATCTACTCTTTTGGAATATAACAACACCAAATACAACAAAATGCTTGAGTAGTTATTCTAACAATAGGTATCAAATGTCATTTTCCATTACTTCTATAAAGGTACCAGGCAAAATGAACCCATCACAAAAAAAGCCCGTAACTCCAGGCTCATACTTATCAGTCATCAATGAACTGAAAGTAACATGACAGCAAATAAAATGCCAAGTCTTTCAGATATCATAAAGACACAGCAATTAACTGACTTGTTCCCACTAAGCCTGTCTAAGGAAAATACAATCTGATGCTCATGAATTTGACTTCCAATGTATTCTAATAATCTAGAGATCAGGTCTTAGTCCTAAAAGAGCATATTACTGGCCCAAGAACCACTGAATATAGAACTTTAATGTATGAGACTCATATGAAATGATTTTTAGAAGCGACCTTACAGATGATAAAGCCTTACAGGTCTAGCCCATTTGCCTAACAAAATAATCTAGGGATATTCTAAAAACTGAGGATACCCTAGGAGAATCTCTGGAGGTAAAGTCCAGACATCTGTTTAGAAAGCTCCCAATTAAAAAAAAAAAATTTTTGTGGAAAAATGAACACAACAAAGCCTTCACCAATTCAACAATATCCACTTGTGCAATTCAGTAATACTGATCACATTCTTCATGTTGTACAACTGTTATTGCTATCATTTTCAAATTATTCTACTACCATTAACATAAAGTCAATGTCCACTAAACAAAACTCCCTTTTTCCCCCTTTCACTCCCAGCAACCACTAACCTTTGGATTCTAAATAAAGGAGAGGGCTTCAAAAAGTTTGTGGAAAAATGGAATTAACAGATAATGGAATTTTTTCCATAAACTTTTTGAAGCATCTTCAAATATCTACTTATTTCAAATGCATGTAAGTGTGTAAGTAGTTCTCCTTTGTGACAACTTATTTCACTCAGCATGTTTTCTAGGCTCACACATGTGGCATGCATCAAGACTTCCCTTCTCTTTATGGCTGGGTAATAATTCCACTGCATGTATCTACCACATTTTGTTTTATCTATTCATCTGTTGATGGATATTTAGGTGGTTTCCATCTTAAGGCTACGGTGAAAAATGCTGCAGTGAACAATGGTGTACAGGTTTCTGTTTGCTTTACTGTTTTCGTGTCTTCTGAATATATATTTAGGATTGTGACAACTGTATCATACAGCTATATGTTTAACTTTTTGCAAAACTGCCAAACTATTATCCACCAACTGTACCGTTTACATTTCCTCCACCATTGGATGAAGGTTCCACTTTCTCTACAACCTTAACAACTATTTTTTTCTGTTTTTTTTTTTTTTTGGTCACTGCCATTCATTATAGTTTTGATTTAAAGAACCTCTGGTGCAACAGTGAGTTATGTGTTGGGCTGCTAACCATAAGGTCAACAGTTTGAATTCATAAGCCACTTCACAGGAGGAAGAGGAGGCTTTCTGTTCCCATACAGATGTACAGCCTCTGAATCCCTACATCGAGTGACAGAGTTGGAATCAACTTTGCCAGTGTTTGGTTGACTGGAATGGCACATGACTCAGGGTATCTTTTAATGTTCTTGCTGGCCATTTGAATATCTTCTGGTAAAATGCCTATGCAAGTTTCGGTCCCATTTTAATGAGTTGCTTGTGAAAAGCTCCCTGTTGATTCTAATGAGGCTAAGATGAAACCACTAAGCTAATCATTACCTTCTTCCACTGAGAATTGACTGAAAAGGGGGGATTTAAAAAGTTTGTTGACAAATATAACTGAAAGTTAATGGAAATTTTCCACAAAAATTTTTGAAGTCCATTGTATATTAAGAGAAAGTTTAAAGCCATAGGCTTTAATTGAATAGTACAAAGAGCAAAACCATTTATCATAATTCCTAAGTATCTTTTGTTAAGCAGATCTGGAATGACAAACCTTTGGTTCATCTAAACACTCAGATTTGGCATCCAATTTCTAGGCTTCCTATCTATGTTCAATATGCAAATATTTAGTCATCTAAGTATAATATTCAAGGAGCTCTGGCAGCACAGTGGTTATGAGTCGGACTGCTAATCTCACAGTCAGCAGTTTGAAACTACCAGCGTTTCTGCGGAGAAAGACGAGGCGTTCTGCTCCCGTAAAGATGTACAGCCTCGGAAACCCTATACAGGGTCGCTATGAGTTGAAACCGACTCCACAGCACATAACTACCACCAAAATAAAATGGCCGTATTAACTCAGCATCATCTGTGGGACTAAGGATTAGTCAAACAGGCAAGAGAAAATAAAAGAGCAAACACATTTTAAAAGGGTGGTCTGGACATTTGCCAGGCACAAACAGATTGGGAGGTAAGAAGGGAATATATTTTGAGTGAGAAGCCATTTGCCAAAAATAACATGGAGGTATCAAATGGGAACAACTACTAATTGTTGTTGTTAAGTGCTGTTGAGTAGATTCCAACCCATAGCGACCCTGTATAGGGTGTCCCAGGAGCAGCTGGTGAGCTTGAACCACTGATCTTATAATTCAAATGACTTTGCATTCTGATGCATTAATTCACAGCGCCACACCAGGATTCCAAATACTAATAGATACACATTATTAATTATTTTATAAATGGTAATCTGTCCTTTTTCAAAGAAACCCTATTCCCCAAGCCCATGAAAACTTACTTTAGAACTACAAAATAACTTGTTAATTTTATGTGCAATGGAGTTGGTTCCAACTTGTGGAGACCCTGTGCACAATCCTCAGAATTTTTTCATTTGACAATTCATATCGGATGGATCTTCTTATTTTTCACTGACCCTCCATTTAACCTAGCATAATACCCTTCCCCAGAAACTGGTCCCTCCTGGTAACATGTCCAAAGTATGGGAGACAAAGACTCACCATCCTGGCTTCTAAGGAATATTCTGGCGGCATTTTTCCCAGGAGATTTGTTTGTTCTTCTGGCTAGTACATAGTACTTCTAGTATTCTTTTCCAATACCATTTAACTCAAATGTATTTGAATGTGCATCCAAGCAAAATGAAGTCTTTTGACAACTTCAATCTCCATTTATTATGATGTTATTTACTGGTCCAGTTATAAGGATTTTTGCTGTCTTTACATTGAGATGTAATCCATTCTGAAGACTGTAGTCTTGGATCTTCATCAGTAATTATTTTAAGTCCTCTTCACTTTCAGAAAGCACAATGCAGGTTGTTAATGAGTCTTCCTATAATCCTGATGCCACACTCTTCTTCATATAATCCAGCTTCTTAGATTATTTGCTCAGCATATATACTGAATAAGTACAGCTACAGGATACATCCCTGACCTACACATTTCCTGATTTTAAATCATCCAATATCCCCTTGCTCTGTTCTAATGACTGCCTCTTGGTCTATGTATAAACTCCTCACAAACACAATTAACTGTTCTGGAATATCCATTCTTTACAATGTTATCCATAATTTGTCATGATCCACACAATCAAAAGCCTTTGGATAGTCAGTAAAACTTAAGTAAACATCTTTCTGGTATTTTCTGTTTTCTGTCAAGATCCATCTGATGTCAGAAATGAAATCCCTAGTTTTACATCCTCTTCTGAATCTCTCTTGAATTTATGACAAGTTCCTTTTGATATACTGTTGCAACTGTTTTTAATTACATCAGCAAATTTTTATCTGCATGATAGTAACGATACTATTAGATGATTTCTGCATTCAGTTGGGCCACTTTTCTTTGAAATGGGCCCAAATCTGGATTTCCACCAATTGGTTGGCAAAGTACTGTCTTCCAAATTTCTTGGCACAGATGAATTAAGAGCCTCAAGTACTGCCATTCAATCAGTTCAAACTCATAGTGACCTAGCACAGGGTTTCTGAGGTTATAAATCTTTACAGAAGCAAAAACCCTCATCTTTCTCCTGAGGAGAGACTGATAGATTTGAACTACTGGCCTTGAGGGTAGCTGGCCAACTAGTAATTTACTAATGTTACCAAGCTGAAATGGACAGGTATTGGCCATTTTGAATTGGAACATCATGATTTACTATGCCAGGAACACCAAATTGAAGAAGAATGGCAACGTGTTCATCGTCAAAAAGAACATTTCAAGATCTATCTTGTAGTACAATGTTACCTGTGAAAGGATAATATCCATACACCTACAAGGAAGACCAGTTAATACCACTATTATTCAAATAAACATACCAACTACTAAAGCCAGTGATGATGACACTGAATAATGCTACCAACGTCTTCAGTCTGAAATTGAATAAGCATGCAATCTAGATGCACTGATTATTATTGGTGATTGAAATGCAAAAGTTGGAAACAAAGAGGAAGGATCAATAGTTGGAAAATATGGTCTTGGAGATAGAAGTGATGCTGGAGATAGTATGATAAAATTTTGTAAAACCAATGAGTACTTCACTGCAAATAACTTCTTTCAACAATATAAAAGGTTGACTACACAGATCATGGACCTATCAGATGGAAAAAACAGAAATCAAACTGACTACATCTGTGGGAAGAGATGATAGAGCAGCTCAGTATCATCAGCCAAAACAAGACCAGGCGCTAATTGTGCACTTGCTCATATGTGAGTTCAAGCTGAAGCTGAAAGAAATTAAAAAAGGTCCGTGAGAGCCAAAACATAACCTTGAGCACCGTTGTTGTTAATTAAGTGCTGTCCAGTCAGCTCTAACTCACAGCGACCCTTGTACAGGGTTTCTGAGGGTTCCCTAGTAAGACTGAGCCACCAACGTTACAGTCAGCAGTCAAGTGTTTATCTTACAGGATCACACTAGGACTCCAAATATAGCCAATTTACATATAGAGACCATCACAAGAATATATTTGACACATTAGACACTATATCAAGGAAGACCAGAAGAGTTGTAGGATGACATCAAGAACATCACATAGGAAGAAAAGTTCATTTAAAAAACAGGAAAGACAAAAATGGATGTCAGGAGAGATAGAAATTTGCTCATGAGCATAAAGAGGCTGGACTGCCGAAAGAACTAATAGATACATGTTGGAAGAAGTGCAGCCAGAGTGCTCCTTGGAGGCCAAGATAGCCAAACTTCATCTCTCATACTTCGGACATATTGTCAAGAGGGACCAGTCGCTGGAAAAGAATATCATGTTTGTAAGGTGGAGGGTCAGAGAAAAAGAGGAAGACCCCAATGAGATGGATTGGCCAAGTGGCAGTATTGATGGACTCAAGCGTGGCAACAATAGTGAGGTTGGCCCAGGATAAGGCAGTGTTTCGTTCTTCTGTGCATAAGATCACTATGAGTTGGTACTGAATCGATGGCACCTAACAATAACAACAACAATGGAGTCTTGGTATGGGGCTGTGGGTTAATGTGCTGGAATGCAAAGTCGGTTTGAACTTTAAGTTCAGCAGTTCAAGATCACCAACCGCTCCTCGGAAACCCTATACAGGGCTGTTATGTGTTGGAACTGATTCAGAGGTACTTAACAACGACAATAATCACCACTATACTGAATCTCTTTACAGATAGAAAACTGTCAACTTTGTATATTATTACATATCCACAACTAGCAAAGCAACTTCTAGTACATATAAAGTATATAATAACTACTAAATACATGAATGAATTAAATAATACCCAATGAGCTTAGGAATGACCCATATTGCTTATACTCAAAATGTTCTTTTGCCAAAAGTAAAAAGCAATTAATAAAGTAGACCATTATGAAGTATCTCTAAATATTAATACATTCTGTGATTATTAGCAACTGAATAAAATGGATACATTTTCTACCTTATACTGTTATAGAAGCTCAGAAACTTTAGTGTTCTACCCTGATCTCTGAAGAATACCTGACATTTTTAGCCACTGGTCCACACACAGTCTTGCTGCTTCTGTATCAGAATGTCCTTGAATAAATTCCAATTCTTGTAACCCATGAGCATGCTGAAAATCAATTTTTTCCTAAAGACATTAAAAAAAAAAAAAAAAGCATTAACCTTTGAGTAGCTTCCTAGTTTCCTTTAAAGTTCTGATACAACAGTAATCAGAAGATCTGACTACCATTTATCGTTGGGACTGCACATTTTAAAAACTATTTCATAAAACTAAGTCAAAATAAAGATTCATACTCTAAAATGTTAACCCCAATGTTACCTCTATTTACACCAATGTTATCTCTATCTGCTAAAAGTTCACCACATTCTACATCTTTGACAAGAAGTTATTATCTTAGTAAACTGTGGTGTATATATTTGATGAAACACTAATAAGATGTTTCAATTTTTGGGAGTATTCTTTTGATATAAAAACATTCAAATGGTTTTAAAACAAATGGGACCAAACATAAAGAATCATTTCAGACTATGTAAAACTATATCTGAAGGGGGGCGGGGGGTGGGGGGTGGAGACTAAAAATAAGTGAAGGTAATTCAAAAAGTACGACAATAAAATCATAGAAATCTTTATTGTTGTTGTTATGTGCCATGGAGTCGGTTCCGACTCATAGCAACCCTGTATAGGGCTTCCAAGGCTATAAATCTTTATGGGAGCAGAAAGCCTCCTCTTTCTCCTGCGGAACAGCTGGTAGTTTCTAACTGCTGACCCTGAGGTGAGCAGCCCGATCCGTAACCACTACGCTACGAGAGCTCCTTAGAAATCTTTATTAGCCAAGTATTAAAATGTGGAGCTATTGTTTCTACACATATCCTCTAATGAGGTCTATATACTTCTGAAGGTAATGTTTCCTTCGCCTTTCTAAACCTTCCCCAAAGAATTCTGTTATCTTTGATTTATATCATATCAAAACAGCAGTTTTTGTATCCGCAAAGGACTCAAATTGTGTTATTTTTCAATGTTTTTAGTTTTAAAAACAGAAAGAAATCTAAAGAGGCAAGATCAAGAGTATAGAGTGGATGAGGTAATGTTTCCACGGGAAATGCTTGTAGGATAGCCCTGTTACCCAGAAAGAATGAGCAGGTATTGGGGGGAAAATTCCTTGGTACAATTTTTGTGGCCTTTTTCTCACCAAATGCACTTTTCCATTTTCTTAAAACTTCTTTGTAAGTTCTTGTGATCATCCTGTGTCCTTCAAGAAAATCTACCAAGAGGTAATCTTGGGAGTCCCCCAAACAGTTTCCATACCTTCTGAGCTGACCTCTCTGCCTTCAATTTAACTGGCCCAGCACATTCCCTTGGAAGTCACTGTTTTGATTGTTTCTTTTTTTTTTTTTACAAAAGCACTAACTAGATTAAGACAATAATTACTGAGAGAACTTGCCTGCAGTCACCCAATGATCCCAGATACATATTAAAACATGTTTTGTTTGGAATAAACCTATACAACTGTGAACTAAAACCATAGTAGCAATATTTTTTACTTGCCCCTGTATGTTATATATTAAAATGTCTAACTCTGGAACAGGATTTTGAATGATTATTTTCATTATTAAACTTCTATACAATTTTTCAAATTTTCCCTATGTATACCAAAAAATCCATATAAAAGAGTCAAATAAACATTTGTTCAGTAATTAGTATTGGTAACAACTAATACAACGCATAGTTGACAACACACATAACACTTAGGAAGTGCCAGACAGCAAAGCAAATGGCAACCTTTTGCTATTTTAGGTCTTCTAGCTCTGGTAGTGTTAAGGAACTCTGGTAGTAATAGTGGTTACGAATCGGGCTGCAAACAGCAAGGTCAGCAGTTCGAAACTACCAGCTGTTCCGTGGTAGAAAGACAAGCCCGTAAAGATTTACAACCCCAGACACCCTGGACAGGGTTGCTATGAGTCGGAACCGACTCCACGGCATATAACAATAACAACAACAAATTCTGGTAGCGTAGTGGTTATGAATCAGGCTGCTAATCTCAGGGTCAGCTTTTCCTTGAGAGAAAGACGAGGCTTTCTGCTCCCGTAAAGATTTACAGCCTTTGGAAACCCTGTACAGGGTTGATATGAGTAGGAACTGACTCTACGGCACACAACAACAACAACAGGCCATATAGTCTCTGGTACAACTAATCAAACTCTGACATTGTAATGTGAAAGCTGAAAAAAAAAAAAAAAAAAAAAGTCAATAAATAGGTAGCAGGCTGGATTTAGCCCACAGACCATAGTGCAAATACATGAACTTTATCCTTTTAGATTTTGCACTGGACTGCAAGGTCAGTTTGAACCACAAGGTCAGCAGTTCAAACACACTAGCCACTCGTTTGAAACCCTACAGAGTCACTATGAGTCGGAACCGACTTGACAAAACTTAACTGTAATGATCATGATGACCACGTCCATGTGCCAAATTTTGTTTTAAAAGCATTTTCCAGTCATTTCACACAATAACTCTAAGGTGTTGTTGTTAGGTGCTACTGAGTCGGTTCTGACTCGGTTTCAACAGAATGAAATACTGCCCAGTAGGTACTACAATTGTTTCTATTAATAATGGAAAAGCCGAGGTATACAAAGGTCAAATAAATTACCCAAGGTTACATAATAATGCCAAGGAGCTCTGGTAGCACAGTGGTTATGAATTGGGCTGCAAACCAAAAGGTCGGCAGTTCGAAACTACCAGCTGTTCCACGGGAGAAAGATGAGGCTTTCTGCTTCTGTAAAGGCTTACAGCCTCAGAAACCCTGTGCAGGGTCGCTATGAGTTGGAAGTGACTCCACGGCTCTTTACCATCACCACCGTATAATGCCACAATTCAAACTTTTGCAATCTGACTCTAGAATCTTGGACTACTACTATACCATGATTTTTGTTGTATGGTACAAAGTGTATTCCATCTCACAGTGACCCCAGGGAACTTCCTATGCCATAATCACTGGAGGACATACTGTCAGCTCTTTTCTTCCTTGGAGCAGCTGGTAAGCTCAAACCATAAACCTTTTAGTTAACTGAGCATTAAACAAGTTTCATCAGAGGTCCTTTATGGCTCTGTTGTTGTTAAGTGCCATCAAGCTGGTTCCAACTCATAGTGACCCTGTATACAGTGTCTGAGGAGCGGCTAGTGCATTGACCCACCTACTTCACAGAAATAAGTTCAATGCAGATAGCACCACACCAGGACTCCTGTCCCTCAAAGATATGTGGTGGTTGTGTACTGTCAAGTGGGTTCTAACTCAGTGATCCTTGTACAGGGTTTCTGAGGTTGCAAGGTTGGTGGTTCAAACCTATCAGCCACTCCTCGGATACCTTATACAGGGTTGCTGAGTTGGTACCAACTTGACGGCACTTAACAACAATAACACATAATAAAAAGACTTTGCATAGTCAATAAAGCACAAGTAAACAAGTTTCTGGTATATTGTGCCTTCAGTCAAGAAACATCTGATGCCATGAATGATATTCCTAGTTCCATGTCCTCTTCTGCAGCTGGCTCGAATTTCTGGCAGTTCACTGTCAGTGTACTCTTGTAAATGTTTCTGAATTATCTTCACCAAAATTTTACTTGTATGTGACATTGATAAAATTGTTCAATGAGTTCCGTAATCCATTGAGCTTCCTCTCTTTTGAAATGGGCACAAATATGATCTCTTCCAATTGGTTAACCACGTAGCTATCTTCCAAATTTTGTGGCATACATGAGTGAGTGGATCCAGACTAAATTAGTCTGTTGAAATATTTCACTTCATATTCCATCAGGTCCTGGAGCCTTGTTTTTTGCCAATGTCTTCAGTGCTGCTTGGACTTCTTGCTTCATACCACTGGTTCTTGATCATATGTTACTACTTGAATTGAATGAGCATCAACCATTTCTTTTTGGTACAGTGACTCTGTATTCTTTCCATCTTCTTTTGACAGTTTCATCATAATTCAATGTTAATCCTATAAAATCCTTCAATATTTCAAGTCAAGACTTGAATTTTTTTCTTTGGTTATTCCATTTTGGTTTTCTAACTCCAGGTATTTGCACTTTCATTATAAATTTAACTTTGAGTTTTCAAGCTGCCGTTTGAAAATTTCTGTTCAGTTCTTTAACTCCCTCATTTGTTCTTTTCACCTTAAGCTTCTTTATGCTCAAAAGCAAGTTTCAGAGTCTATTCTGACATCCATTTTGGTATTATCTTTCTTTCCAGTCTTTTTAATAACCTTGTGCTTACTTTCTGTCTGTTGTTCTTGATGTCATTCCACAACTCTTCTGTTCTTTGGTCACGTGTCTATCAAATTCATTCTAAAGATGGTCTCTACATTCAGGTGGGATATATTAAAAGTTTTGGCTCTCATGAACTTGTTTTAATTTTCTTCAGCTTCAGCAACTGATGGTCTGTTCCGCAGTCTACACCCAGCCTTGTTTTGGCTGATGATATTGAGCTTTTCTACAGTGTTTTCCCACAGATAAAGCCAGTTTGATTCCTGTGTGTTCCATCTGGTGAGATCAGTTGCCCTTTATATTGTTTAAAAAAGGTTATTTGCAATGAACAAATTGTTGGTCTTGCAAAATTCTATCATGTGTTCTCCAGCTATATTTCTATTGCCAAGGCCATATTTTTCTTAAGATCCTTTTTCTGTTTCCACCCTCCTCATTCAAATCACCAGAAATTATCAATGCATCTTGATTGCATGTTTGATCAATTTCATATTGAAGAAGGTGGTTGTTGTTGTTGTTGTTGTTAAGTGCCATTGAGTCGGGTCCGACCCATAGCGACCCTGTACAGGGTTTCCGAGGGTGTAAATCTTTACGGGAGTAGAAAGCCTCATCTTTCTCCCGCGGAGCGGCTGGTAGTTTCGAACCGCTGACCTTAAGGTTCGCAGCCCGATTCGTAACCACTACGCTACAGAATTCTTTAATTTCATCATCATTGCTTTAGTGGTTAGTGTGTAAATTTGAATTAATAGTGGCATTAACTGGTCTTCATTGTAGACACATGGATATTATTCTATCACAGACAGCACTGTATTTTAAGATATACAATAAGAGGGAGGTTGGCACAGGAATAGATGAAGGCAGTTAAAGAC